AGTCCACTGGGTTGCAAAGAGTCGGACATGACTGAGCACACACATAAAATAAGAGAACAGAAAAAAACAACAGGTTCAAGGAAACCAAAAGTTGGCTCTTTGAAAAGATCAACAAAATTGACAAACTTTTAGCTATGCTGACAAAGAAAAAAGAGAGAAGACACAAAAAACTAAATCAGAAATGAAAGGAAGGATATTACTGTTGACCTTACAGATATAAGGACTGTAACAGAATACAATGAACAAACTATATAGCAACAAATTAGATAATGTAGATGAAACTGATAAATTACTAGAAACATACCAATCACTAAACTGACTGAAGATGAAATACAAAATCTCAACAAACTTATTTAACAAGAAGAGATTCAATCAGTGATCAAAAACTTCCCCAAAAGTAAAGGCCAGCGCTGGATGGTTTCAATGGTAAATTCTAACAAACATTTTAAGAAGAATTAAGAACAATCCTCTCAAAAGCTCTTCCAAAAATATAGAAAAGAAAAAAAGGGCAAAGTGTTTAGGTTAATTCCTGTCATATAGTAAGCACCATATGAGTTTGGGCTATTATTACTATTTATTTACTATTATTACTATTATTATTGGGCTTCCCCGGTGACACACTGGTAAAGAATCTGCCTGCAATGCAGGAGATGCATGTTTGATTCTGGGATCAGGATGATCCCCTGGAGAAGGAAATGGCAGCCCACTCCAGTACTCTTGCCTGGGAAATCTCATGGACAGAGGAGCGTGGAGGGCTACAGTACATGGGATCACAAAGAGTCAGACACAACTGAATGAGCACATATACACTATTATTATCATACAGCAAAAGGCTATTTACTTCTAAAAGGTCTCCAAAGTAGACATTATATAATCTCCCCTTGCTCAACAATCATTACCAAGATACACTGCTTCTAGTGCAAAATTGTAAAGCAATAATACACAAACTCTGGAGACAGACTGTGGAGCTGACTCCTAATTTTGCCACTCTGTAGCTGTATGAGTCTTAGGTCATACAGCTTACTTAACTCTGACTGCCTAAATTTCTTCTTCTATAAAACAGGAATGGTAACAGTATACCCATTCTTTACTGGGTTGCAGTAAGGGTGAAGTGAGGTATAAAGTATGTGCAAAAGGGCTTAGAGAAATGTCTGGACACACAGCAAGTGCAATATATATTTGCTATTACTTAAGCAATTTGTAAAATAGTAAGCTAATGTGTTAATTATACACCATGTGCTATGATAAGCACTTATATATTTTTTTCCTTACAAAATCCCTACTATACAGATGACAAGGGTTGAAAAGGGCTTTCAAAGGTAACACTGCCTGTCATACTGCTATCAAGTGATGGAAATAGGATGCAAACCCAAGTATTTCTGGATACAAAGCCAGAGCTCTTTATTTTTCGTAAAGGATTCACCTCAACCATTTTCTCTCCAGGGCTAGTGACAAACAGGCAAAATCAAACACACCATTCTTCTCCCTGATCCCAGAGGCAGTTGCACAAACCTCCCTTTCTGAACACAGCCCTATGCACAGTTACTATCAACAGCAAAGTTGGTATGAGGAATAATATCAACTGGATATCCTTGCTATTTATAAACTGTCTTTCATACAAAAAGAGGGAGAGTCTTCTTTAAGGAAGACAGCTTTAATTACTCAATAATCAAACTATGATGAACCACAGGTAAAACAATTTTATATGTAAGGTTACTTAGAGAAATATTTTTTAAAGAAAACTATTACTTGATTTAAATAAAAGCTAAGTCTCTTGTAAAAACAAAAAATGGTTTCCATGCTCCCGCAGAATCCCAGGCTTCTACAAACATGAGCTGCAACTCAGAGAAGGCAGTCAGTTGTTCTCATACCCCAGTTTCAATCAGGAACAACTTTGCTTTTTATCTGTTCTACAGGTAGAACAGAGGTTCTTCATAAATTTCATTTAGGAGGGAAAAGTTTCTACTGCTGAATACTGACACTAAGAAACACTATTCTCTAAGATACTTGGAATTCACAAAAGTATTATAAACCCAGAGTTTCAAAACATTGAAAAAATGTTTTTCTCTGATCAAGGAGAAAGTACTATTTATTCTGAACTAAATCAGAGTCAATAAAATCTATTAGGTAACTTGGAGTATAATAACTGACTACATGATGCTCCAATTACTAAATACTAATAATTCCAACCAGAAGACTATGACTGAGACTAATCTGGTCACATCGCTAGTCCCTGTCCTGACTTAATTCCTCCTTCTAGTTACATTGGCTACTCTTTTCCACAACTATAGGCTAAAAGTATATTATGTTTAACTCCCAAAGACAGCTTTTAAAATGGCAGGGTGGCACAAAGTGAGAAAGTCACCAAGATGGCTATTCCTATAACCATTCAGTCAAACTGTGGTCAGTGGAAATATCTGTCAAACATTACAGCCATCCTACCTGAACTTTACCCAGAACTGGAAAGTGCTTATGGACAAAAATTATGATATGGCCTTTGGGTAGCTTAACTATATTCTCAAAATAAAAATAACAATAGGGGAAGAGTTAAGAATATTATGTAGTACAAAAACTCAGTGGAATATTATATAACCAATAACTAAAAATATTATGAGGCAACAAGGAAAAGCTGTTGAGATTCAGAAGTAATCAACAGAGAGATACCAACAGACACCAGACACCAGAGTTAAAAAGGGAAAATACATTTGAGGGGTTGCCAGACAGGTAAGTCTTTGGGTGTTACCACAAAAGGTTTGTTCGAGAGATTTGTTCTTCCCTTTCTGCTCTTTATATTTGTAAGAATTAAATGAGTTAGTATTTGTAAAGCACTAAAAACAGTGCCTGACATATAGGGAAAGATATATATATATATATATAAAATTCTTTTCAATTATGGTTTATTAACAGGATATTGAATGTAGTTCCCTGAGCTATACAATAGGACCTTGCTGATTATTCAGGGAAAGCTATATAAATTAAGCAATCAAAAGAAGATATTCAAGGGGTTTTGTAGGGAGGCCTGCGCAAATGAATCCCCACGCAATTCAGTGGTTCATGGAACAAATAATCCTGACCTTTATTTATTTTCCTCTGTGGGGTATTATACTGTCTAGCATCTAATAACAAAACCCACAGGGATGCAAAATTCCATTATAATAGTGCTTTGAACATAATAGATGCTCCATAATTTTATTTGGGAAGGGGCAGGAAAAAGAAATGATATGTCGAAACAGATAAGATCAAAAGACATAACAGGCAGTTTGTAGGTTAAAAAAAAAAAGGTAGCATGAACCAAGTAAAGGGCTTAGGAAATAAAAGAGCTCAAATACTTATGAGGGCTTATAGTCCCTAAGATAAGCAAATGCATCATTTAAACTTAGGGAAAAAAAATTCAGAGAACACCTAAGAAATGAGAGTCACTAAAGGGCCAATTTGCTAATTATGGTTGTTAAAACCTTAGCTATGACACACACACACATACACATGCAATAATTATATATCTGTAGGTATGTATATCACAATCCTGGCTTAATACACAGGTAACTTTCCCATATTACAGGCTCTGTCATGGAAAAAAAAAAATTTCTAAGGAAATAATCTAAATAAAATTCAATGGAAAATGACTAAATGGTACACTAGGAAATATGTGAAGTAAAAAAGAACTGGCTAGAAATCAAGAGGTATTATGAATCTGAGGAATTTGGGAAGTATATGCATGGTATGTGGGCTTCCCTGGTAGCTCAGACAGTAGAGAATCTGCCTGCAATGCAGGAGACCTGGGCTGGATTCCTGGAAGATCCTCTGGAGAAGGGAATAGCTACCCACTCCAGTATTCTTGCCTGGAGAATTCCATGGACAGAGGAGCCTGATGGGCTACGGTCCATAGAGTCTCACACGACTGAGTGACTCAAACACACATGCGCACACACACATGGAAGGGTCCAAAATATAAAATGAACTTCTTCAAAGTGATGTTAATTTAGCCAAAGAGTTTAAGTGCTTATTACTCGTCCTCCCTCTTCACCCATACCAGTGAAGGAAGAATGTAAAGAAAAGACTGAATCTGGAAAGAAGGAACAGTGAATAGATAGAAAGAAAAAGACAACGGTAAAACTGAAGAAAATGATTTTCTATGCTTCCAACTCCAGTGAGTATAAGGTATTACTTACGGTATCTTTTAAAGAGAAAATCAAAGGGTAGGAGGCTAAGGGGAATTCAAAGCAGGAGATCTTTCTTTATTCTTTGCTTTTACAGAATTAAATGTGATAATAAATAGTGATCACTTACAAGAAGCTCTGTAATATTACATCTTTTCCAACTTTTTAATGTAATCTATCCCTAGAATAGGTTAAACTTGCTTCCTAATGTTTAAGTCTCATTCTGGTCCAAAGTCCTCCCACTTCCTGTTCCCCTCCAATACTTCTAACTGACATCATTTCCAAATCATCATTTCCATCACTTCCAACATGACAATACTTCCAAATCGACATCATTTTCCTCCCTCCAATAAACACGTAAACTATCACGGGCTCTGGGAGCCTACAAGAAGAAACACAAAAGTTTTTGAAATATAGAACTTTAGAACTAAAGAAGAAAATTCTTAAAAATTAATCCCCTCCATCATTTCATTCGGGTTTTCCCTGGTGGCTCAGTGGTAAAGAATCCATCTGCCAATGCAGGAGACACAGGCTTGATGCCTGGGTCTGGAAGATCCCCTGGAGAAGGATCACTCCAGCATTCTTGCCTGGGAAATCCCATGGACAGAGGAGTTGACAGGCTACAGTCCAGGGGGTCACGAAAGAGTCAGACACGACTTAGTGACTTGACTAAACAATGATATCAAATGATCATATTGTGAGGATAGAAACACTAGGACATGTGTTTTGGAATTCTTCCATTCAATAAGCAAAGCTGTCTTGATGGGAGGACTGGATACAAACTTTTTCTAAAAGAATATCAAGCCCATCACAATATTCAGTAAACACGTTCTAAAGACCTACCTTTTCACCACTTGAGTAGAAGAAATAACGCAATCGGACTATGTTACAGTGATCTAGCTTTCTCATGATCTGGAGCTCTCGGTTCTGAAAAGGAAACACATGAAAATATTTTTAAGGGCTACCTGCACATATTGACTAAGATGCTTCTGAAATAACATTAAGCACTTCAAAGAGCAGGCTACAGATATGTTACTAAAAAGTAACATCCATATGTTACGGTATCACCAGTCTGACCATTGTTCTGCAGTAAGATAAATACAGAAATCGAAAATAAGTGTTCAGAAACTTTTATTGCAATTTGAAAGAACAATTTTACATCCATGAATCTTACAGTTAAAAGTAGGGCCTATATTTTCCTAAGTTTCACTTTTCTCATAATTCATTTTTATTGTATTGTATAAAAATACAAGTCTTCAATGAACTGAAAAATTTTAAAACTGGTACCTCACTACAAATAGTTTGAGAAGGACTGGTTTATGTATGCAAGAGATAATTGAAATGAGTTATTATTACTATAATTTTTTTCAATTATAATAATAATCAACTTCTCACCAAGCAAATGAATATGGGTGCAAAGAAAACTCTCACATGCCCTGTTTTCCAAAATGCAGTGAAAAATCTGAGTTAGCCCTATTTAGAAGGGCTCAGTTGCTAGAGTTAAAATATGATATACTAGAAGGTGCACAGTCCTGAAAATTTATAGATCACACAAATAATTTTTCCTTAGGGGAGTTTCAAAGTTATGCTTCAAGAAAATAAAACATTAAACAATATGACAACTTCCCAACACTGCAATGTAAATTTTGCAGTAATAAATTTGAGGAGAACATATTAATATATACATACAAATAAAGAAGTTAAATTTCAAGAATATACTTAACTGTCAGAAATCCAGTTAATAAAGTCCAAAATATCTATTAACATAGAAAAAGAATACCAAAATACTTGCTAAATGGACAGAAATATAAAATTTCTGTTAAAATGATTTAGAAGAGCTACAATCATAAAGTACATACCTGGGAATTTGGAAGGTAAATGCTACTATGTTTAGAAAACAAGACCAAAATAAAGGGGTTGGGATGTATTATGGACAAAAGGCCTAATAAGCAGAACTGTCTTAGAGCAGAGTGGGCCCCAGTTCTTAGAAGATGACAGCACAAATAAACAAACATTCCTCTTCCCTAGAAATTTTCAATAAACTCCATGATGGTTCTAGCATGTTCTCTAAAATGAAAGAGGAAACTTAAGATGATTCTCCTTCTGACTCTTTAAACCGAGTACGAGAGCTGGGCTTATGTATACAGTGATATTTAAAATCCTTTTTATAAAATATCAATCTTTCATTCCATTACTTGTTATGTTTATAGCTGAAGCAATAAACACGAAACTCAAGACAGTACAGTATACTCACTTTAACAAGGATAATACCTAGTATCAGACTCTGAGTTCTATTACAGATGACACAGAAAATTTTACAAATTTCAAAACTGTCCATTTTTTGTTTCAAATCGAAGCTGTTTTTTGAAGTATGTCTATACTCTGTCAATTCACATCTAGGTAGCTAGTTTTGTGGGAGAACTGCTAGTAAGTTAAAACTCCTCTCAGATATTAAGATTTTTTTTTTAACATCGACAGCTATATTAAAATAAGCCATTTTTTTAGACCCATTAACCAAGGTAACAGAGAAGTATTAAATTAAATTTCCATGTAATTTATGGAAATTTATGGAATTTATGTTAAGACTATGCATACAGGGCTTCCCCGGCGGCTAAGCAGTAAACAATCTGCCTGCAATGCAGGAGATGCAGGAGACATGGGTTCCATCCCCAGGTTGGGAAGATCCCCTGGTGGAGGGCACAGCACAACAACCCAATAGAGTATTTTTGCCTGGAGAATCCCATGGATGGAGGAGCCTGGTGGGCTACAGTCCAAAGGGTTGCAGGTAATTAGACACGACTGAAGTGACTGAGTGTGTACACATATACTATGCATATGATCCTTTATCAAAAAGAATATAAGTGAAGCAAGTATATGGATTCAAATATTTATCTACCCTTACTTCCTCTTCATATTCTATTTTTGAAAGGAGGCTTAAATTTTCTCATTTTAAAATTCTCTAAAAGATCCAAAAGATAAATTTCACAGAGCAATTTTTAAAGTATTAATCAAGCCAATATTAGACAAAGCTTATGCCTGAGATACATTTAATATACAACTATCCCAAGCCTAACTTTTTACTGAGTCATTCTTTATTAGTGCATGAATGACATACTAATTCTACAGGAAAAAAAGTTGTTATTCTACAAATATAGTGTACCTCTTCTGTGCCAAGCATCATTTGCAATATTAAGGATATGGCAGTGAATAAGAATAACCAAGTTCTTAACCTCATGAAACTTTCAACCTATGGAAGACAGTTCAGTTCACTTCAGTCGCTCGTTGTGTTCAACTCTTTGCGACCCCATGGACTGCAGCACACCAGGCCTCCCTGTCTATCACCAACTCCAGTAGTTTACTCAAACTCATGTCCATTGAGTTGGTGATGCCATCCAATCATTTCATCCTCTGTCATCCCCTTCTCTTCCTGCCTTCAATCTTTCCCAGCATTAGGGTCTTTTCAAATGAGTCAGTTCTTTGCATCAGGTGGCCAAAGTATTGGAGTTTTCAGCTTCAGCATCAGTCCTTCCAATGAATATTCAGGACTGATTTCCTTTAGGATGGACTAGTTGGCTCTTCTTGCAGTCCAAGAGACTCTCACAAGTCTTCTCCAACACCACAGTTCAAAAGCATCAGTTCTCCAGCACTTAGCTTTCTTTATAGTCCAACTCTCACATCCATACATGACTACTGGAAAAACCATGGCTTTGAATAGACGGACTTTTGCTGGCAAAGTAATGTCTCTGCTTTTTAATATGCTGTCTAGGTTGGTCATAGCTTTTCTTTCAAGGAGGAAGCGTCTTTTAATTTCAAGGCTTCAGTCACCATCTGAGGTGATTTTGGAGCCCCAAAAAATAAAGTCTGCCACTGTTTCCCCATCTATTTGCCATGAGGTGATGGGACCAGAGGCCAGGGAGGAATAAACAATATATTTTCAGATCATAATAGAAAGAAGGGGCTGTTATTTTAGATAGGGAAGTCAGAGCAGATCTCACAAAGAAAGTTAAGATCTAAGGACAAATCTGAATCCTATGAGGATGAGAACCACGTGAGGCTAAGCGGGGAAAGCACTACAGTTACAGAGAACTTCAATACAAATGCCCAGAGGTGGGCTTGAAAGTGAAAGTTGTTTAGTTGTGTCCAACTCTCTGCGACCCCTGGACTATAAAGTCCATGGAATTTTCTAGGCCAGAATACTGGAGTGGGTAGCCTTTCCCTTCTCCAGGGGCTCTTCCCAACCCAGGTATTGAACCTAAGTCTCCTGCATTGCAGGCAGATTCTTTACCAGCTGAGCCACAAAGGAAGACCAGAAGAGGACTTGGCATATTCAAAAACAGCTAGAAGAATAATGTGATTGCATCACTGAGTAAAGGAAAAGGCAGGAAACAAGTATAGAGAGACAGGCAGGAGGGTATGTCATATTAACTCTAACGAAACTGAATTCTAAACTAAATGAAAGGAAAGCCAAGGAGGCCAAGCAAATGACATAATCTGATTTACCTTTTTAAATGATCATTTTCAAACTAAAAATAAATGTGGGGGAGGAGGTGAATCACAAGTTGTTTTTTGTTTGAACGTGGATCAAGAGTTCTGTTTGAAATCCTAATATTAGACATCCAAGTAAAAATACTGAGGCTCAAGGTAGAAGTCTGGGCTGGAAATCTGTGTCTGGGAGACATTTGTATAAAGGGGACTCAAAGCACGAGGACCTAATAACATCACCTAGGGAAGAAGTTTAGACAAATACACACATACAGACACACTCTCACACACACACACTCATATATCTGTATCTCTCTACCAAGCTATCTATCCATCTATCCATCCATCCATAGGTATGAAAAGGAGTGTATCAAGTGGAGCAATCAATAAAGTAGGATAAAAAACGAGAGGTTACCTTACAGGCCAAGTGAAATAAGTTTACAGAAAAAGGCACTGACCATTTATAGCAAAAGCTGCTGAATAAGAAATTAAGATGAAAACATAGGACAAATGAATATGGCAAATGCAGGATGTTAGTGACTCTTACAAGTGTGATTTCAGTGGTGATAAAGTCTGACTAGAGTGAATTAAATTGGGGTTGGGAGGGAGACACAGGGAAATAATTAAAAAGTCAGAAGGTTCAAAAAGAAATGAGATTTTCAGCTCTAGCAGAATGCACAGATCAGCAAATTCGCTCCCCAAAACACATATAAAAAGAACTGTACTGTAGATAACAATCATTTCAAGGCTCTGGAAACCAACCAAAAGCAACAACAAATCAAGAAGTGTTTATTCAAGAAACACAGCTAAGATATTAGAGTTAAGACAGTGGGGGCCAGTGACCGTCTTGCTAGTGACCTCCCCTCTCAATCACCTCTCAGCTCAGCCACAGCTCTGCTACCCTAAGAATGCAAAACCAGGTGGGGAAAATGACAGAGTGGCAGAATATTAAGAAATACAAAGGGAGATCTTGGAAATGAAAGAGGCTAAATAAAGTCTCTACGTATCCCCGTGCTGATTTATAGGCTGTGCACACATGGGAGATCCAAGAGGGCCTTGGAGAAAAGTAAAAGCTGAGGCTGACTTAAAAAGCACCTGAATTTCAAATGTATTTCTCAACCCGTGAACAGAATCATCTAAGAAATGATGGAAACTTTATAAATTCAAAATATTTGAACACAATTTCTAACCAATAACTGGCTGGCCATTAAGCAATGCAGACAAAGAGTCCAATCCTAAGAAATCAGGCTAAAAAATGAAAACTTGAAGAAACATTTAACACAGAATTCAGGGGTTTCAAACTGGCAGAAAAAGAGTCTAGATCAGATCCAGGTAAATTGAAAAAAAAAAAAGGAAAAGAAAAAAACTCCCAATAAAACAAGTTTCAGGAGGATAAAAAAAAAAGTTAACAGAACTCAGAGTTCTACAATATATTATCTAAAACT